GATGGACATCATTATCCAAAGTACATGTATGAAATGTTCACATGAATTGGTGTGAACATACTTTATATTCAAAAACAGAGATATGAAAAATTGTGTTCTATATGTGTAATAAGAATTGTGATGCATTCTGCTGTCATGTATTTAAAAAAATAAAAGCAATTTTAAAAACACAATATAAAGATAATGACTGAGTTGACAACACAACTATTCCAGGGATTCTGGGTAGAACAGTGAATATGATAACCTCAAAAACTAGTTTTCAAAGCAGGAATCCTTAAGATGATAATTGGCGTGTAAGAAGAAAATATTAGAATTCCTGTTTATGTTTAAATTTTATTTAAAGAAAAAATAAATCAGGTAAGCTTTGCTAATATTTGAGACTTGGATTAATATAAATGCCCTGAGTCCATACTTCAGATGACTCAAATCTGATAAAATACTTGAGATATCCTAAAGAAAAATTGGGAGTTTCAAGAAGGAAATACTGACCATTGTTACTTGGTTCTTTTGTTTTGCTTTCAAATTTTGATTATTACCATCTATACTTGGCCATTTAGACAGATTTACAGAGCATATTATTTTGAATTGTGCAATATTTACAATTCTTCATGACCCAGATAATCTTCCCACACAAATATTGTCTGGTTATCTCAAAGTGCTTGTCTTTGAGCTTAAATATTGGTCATGTATTATGCCTTTCTAAAAGGCAAATGTTCTAAATTTCCTGACCTCATCTGTGATAAGTAATTGTCAATAGTGTCTATGTACAAGACATTTTCAAAAAGCACAAAAACCATTCCTTCAAAGTAAAAGTAACATTTTAACAATAATGAGAAAGTCTCTTAAAGTGAGCATATTGAAAACAGACATTTGAAAATGTTTCCAGTATTATGTTGCCAAAATCTATAAGTATTCAGAGTCCTATCGCTTAAACTTGAAAATAAAATTCCCTAATCAGTTTTTTTAATATTCCACATAAAAAGATTCAGATAATGTTTAACCTATTCCTTCAAAATATTAAAACACCCAGTTTTCAATTAGTTAGCAGGGACAAATTAGTATCAGGTAAGATAAAAAATGGCCAGCTATGTGCAGAAATCTTTGCAAAACTGGTAGATAAAACTTAAAAAATTAACATTATAATTTAGCAAACACAGTAAATAATTTGTTCCTTCAGTCTAGATTGATATGTGCTTGTGAGGCATCTTTTCAACTATGACAGATATTAAATCTAAGTATAAAAATACACTGAAGTTAGAAACCTTTGAACCATTGCATTAATAAGTGTTAAACTGAGACTTTCAAAAATAATAACACACAATTATAACATTCTTGTTAAAAGATTTGCAAAAAGTATGAGTCAATAATTTTGCTGTTAAAGACATTTTTACAAAATAACCTAATTTACATTAAAATATTTCATCTTTATGCCAACCTTATTTTTTCTAATTTATAAATATAATAAAAGATGCATATACTGCATAAATTTAAATATACATATACCAGATGTGATGAAAACATTTTTACTTCAGAAATATGATTATCAAGCTTCAAGGCCATTATCCTAATATTTTCTACTTCAAATAATGATTTTAAAATTATTACAGTGGAGAAAAAGCAAAAGAAAATCTCTAAAACAAAAATTAATACAATTCATTTTATGTTTTTAATAAACTATTCTGTAGGAGATGATTTTATGTACTCAAACACTGATATGAAAATAGATTAGGAATTAAGTGGATACTGAAAATGCGATCAAGTCTAGCTGCAGTGATCTAGAGCTTCATAACTGTGAAGACAGCCAAGTCAGTGCAATCCTTAAATCCAGTTCAGAGTGGTTCAGATATTGTTTTAATATGTCCTTCAAAAAACACTGTCAAGTACACTTAGTGCATGCCTATTATCCCAACTCCTAGGGAGAATGAGGCAGAAGGATCATTAAGTTCCAGGCCAACCTCAGTAAAGTAGCAAGGCCCTAAGCAACTAAGTGAGACGTCTCCTCAAAATGAAAATAAAAATGGCTGGGAATGTAGATCAGCACCTCTGAATTCAATCCTCCAGTACAAAAAAAAAAAAAAAAAAAAAAAAAAAACTTGCTATCCTCCTAGAACTTGTACCTATCTACAGTCATTGAGAAATAATTTTTTCACAAACCATTCCAGGCCTGGGCCTTTTGTCATTAGGTCCCACACCACTTATTTATTTCCAACATCAGACTAGTTAAACATACTGTGGAAGCTGAATAGCCAACACTGAAGAGAAAATTTAAAATGAAAAACAAAAAGCTCAACCTCACTTAAAACTTTGAAATTTGTGAGTTCTTCTATTACTTACAAGAGAAGAATGTTAAACATGGGCAAGATATACAACCCACTGTGAACCATGACAGATGCATCTATTTCTAATGATATAGACAGTCATAAAGACAGGACCCTGTTTCCTAAAATGTGAAATCATGTTAAGTACTTCCACAAGTAGACCAATTAACATAGTGATCTGTGATGTTGGTAACAGCAGATTAGGAGGACAAAGCAGAGTTAAAGTTAATGAAAAATGCTCCGGCTGGGCACATGCCTACAATCCCAGCAGCTCAGGAGGCTGAGACAGGAGGACTGCAAATTCAAAGTCAGCCTCAGCAAAAAACAAGGCACTAAGCAACTCAGTGAGACCCAGTCTCTAAACGAAAATACAAAATAGGGCTGGGGATATGACTCAGTTGGTTGAGTGCCCCCGAGTTCAATCCCTAGTACCCAAAACACACACACACACACACACACACACACACATAAATGCTCCAGAAAGAGAATTTCCTTTGGGTTTTCCCAAAAATATCAAGAGAAGTAAAAATGTCAAGAGAAGTCAGCTTATGATCTGATTCATATCAGTCCAGGAAAGGAAGTGAAAGTCTATACCTGGTAACTAGACTAAGGATGAGATATGGAGCTGTTGCAGGTGCCTAGAGTAACCAGCACCAATGACAGGACGTTAGAGAAGCCCAATGTCAACAATAAAATAGTGTGAAGAGTTCCACGACAGTCCTGTGTAAGGTATAACATCCCACAAGGACCTCATAGGCCCATCCTAGGACACAAAAATCTCCTAATTCAATGTCCAGTTTCTGGGCAAGGAAAAAGGAGGGAGATGCAGATTCCAAGTCAAAATGTACATTCAGTAAATCCAGTGTTTTGATATTACTTTTTGATAACTGAACCTCTTCCTCCAACATTTTCAAGTAAAATTAACTGAACTGTCAATTGTCTTATAGGATATACATTTCCAGTTTTCCAATAGGAAAAAAATAAATACAATGCTCCCTAAAATGTACATATTTCAATCTAATCTTTACTAATCAGAAGAGGATAATATTTTATCTTGAAAATGCACAGAACCTAAAAAATTAATATTCCTGATGCAATGAAAATAAATCAATTTCCCAAAAGCAGAAAGAGGTTCTTGAAATATGACCATCTAGTCAAATAAATAAGTGTGCTATGAAGACACCTAAACCATACCAAAATCATTACAAGGAAGTTGCAATCATTAAAAAAAAATGAAAAGTAACTGTCTCCCTGTTTGTAGATTGACTACTTATTGAATCACCCAAGAGCACCACTAAAACAAGGTTATACAGAAATGAGCACATACAGATCAATATCCACAAATTTGAGACTCATGCAGCAAAACACTCACTCTGGCTAAAGACCATGCTTAAGTGTCTATATGCCCTTGGCATGGAGACAATAATCAATCAGACCAATAATATTCACCAAATTAATGATTGAAATTCACGTCTTTAGAAATGCCAGAATCACCCAGATGAAATTGGGGGCTCAAAAAATGTTCAAAACCACAAGAAAAAATAGGGAAAAAGAGGCAAAAAGAGATCTTAATTTCTGTGAGTTAACAAGACACTCACATATATCATTGAGTCCCAATTGGTCATAGGTGGGGGGAGGCAAGTATAATGTTGGTTATATAGAGGTGTGTGGAGATTCAGGAGGAGAAGTTGGGCTGTGTGGGATACTGAGGAAGTTAAAGGGGATCAGAGGGATAAGGTGGAAATGTGACAGATTTAAGGTATAAGTTCTTCATGGTAAATTTCCTTCCAATTTAAAATTTCTTACCTTAAAACCCATTATGTACTTAATACAACTACAATTCACAAACGGCAAAAAATCAAATTAAAGATGTAATTGCCATATTTGTGGAAATATCCTATTTTAAATGAGTTAAGCTGACTTTCATCACAAATTCATGGGATCAATATTGGAATAGTACAAATATTTAAGATCAGAGACTTTATTATACACTTGTTTCATAGCGTATTTGTATATTACAGATAAATTATTGAAAATTAAATCATTAGTATGCCATCAAATTTCTTCTCTAAACTTAAGGTAAATAACAGTCACGTTTCCAAAATCCTTATCTCTGTTCCACATCAACCAGAATCCCATTGAATCAAGTATGGAAAGGAGTTTTTAAAAAACTAGAAAAACACATACAAATATATACACCTTTCTGGGTTCCTGCATATAGTTTTCTCCTTGTTTTTTTTTTTTTTTTTGCCCTAACATATCTTTTCTATTGCTTTGTAACAGATGGCAGTGTATCTGAATGAATATCATCTATGTCTCAATAAGCATCATATTCCATAAAAATGTGCATAATCTGGTTGATATTCCTGGGAGTGTTTTCTCTCCTCATGGTTCTTTTCAATTTCCAACCCATTTTGAAGAATAGGGTAGTTTTAACTAACATCAAACTTCAGGCATAATCTTACTTTGGGCTTTCTCTTAAGAGAATACCCAAGTGAAAGGTTACTCTGCACAAACTTATTTTCTCCCCATCTTTCAGCTCACTTGATGATACTGAGATCAGCGTAGATTTTTTTCCTCAGTAGGATGCCTTTTGTTCAGTGACTCACACAAATACAACACATACAAATGTAATACATTTTTCAGTTCTAATTTCAGAGAATTTTATTTTCATATTCTTACCTCTGAATTGTTCAGGTGGCATTTGTGAGTTCCTGAAAACCAGCCATCACTTGAACACTGGTCAATGTCCACTTTCTGAAGATTTATATCAACTTTCATGACACCCCTAAAAACAGAAAAAGACAAAATGACCAAATTCATTTGAGCCCTTAACAACTCCAAACTCTTTGAAAATCAGAAAAATCAGCATAATCTACTAAAATATTTCAAACTGCCCACTCATATTTAACTACAGTGTACCAAATAAAAAATAAATAAAAATTAGTTCTACCTAGGTCCCAAAGGCAAGAACCGTGTATTGTTCCTTCTTTGGTTTCTCATATAATGCCTAACACATAGCATGTACTCAGTAAATATGTGCTAATTGACTTGACTCTCAGACAACTACTCTGAACATGGTAGAAACCTTGACTCAGAAACACCTGCTCAAAAAAAAAAGCTCTCTCATTAAAGAGAGAGAGTAATTAAATCACACCCACACCCTCATCTCATTTCTTTCAATTCCTATTTCCCATTGTAAGACCCCAAACAGAGAGATTGAAAGAATTAATGGGGAGGACAGTATCATAAAATTAAGCTTCTCCGTTCCTCTGATCTTCTATCACAATGACTTTAAACAGTTCTTTAGGGCACCCAATATCCTACATCAAGCATAGAGATTCACAAAAATGAAGACTACACTTCACTGAGCCATTTGAAGAGTCAGAAAGAGAACCCACAAATTCAGAGCCAAAAGCTAATTACAAAGAGTCCCGAGTTTTTCTAAAATTCCACTATTTTCTTCAAGCAATTCTCTACATTTTCCTAATATTCTTCCCTTATATTTTTTAAAATATTTTTTTAATTGATGATAGACCTTTGTTTTATTCATTTATACACAGTGCTGAGAATCGAACCCAGTGCCTCACACATGCCAGGCAAGTGCGCTACCAGTGAGCCACAGTGCCAGCTCCCTTATATTTTTAAGTACCACTAACAGCAGCTGCTGCAGAAATAATCTGTCTTACATGGAATTGTCACACCTAGACTTTATTGAAATAAACATTCTGTGCTCTGGTTCCTGAAACCTATTACTTTATAATGTAGCTCTTCACAAACTTGAGTAAAGAATAAACATCCCACTAAAAACTGATATATAAAAATATATGTTCAAGGTCTAAAACCAATTTGAAATATTTCTATATTAAATATCTAAAACAAAAATAGGCTCAAATTCCTCATTTTTTAGCTTTTATAGCCATAAAAAACAAAAATTACAAATAATGTATATAAAACTAACAAAAAATAAATTTAGTTTAAATTTAATATTAAATTAAAATATTAAGAAAATTGGTGATGATGTTTTGCTAATACTAAATCCCCTTTCAAAACAAGAACATGTAACTTTTCTGTTTTATATCTTGTGCTTCATTTCTCTCATTTCCTTTCTCCTTTTAAACTACTGGGAAATTTTCCAACAGAGAGGCTTACTGTCATTTGGGCTTCAGTTTTGGTGAATAAATCATTCACTTTTTTCTTCTGTTCTTTTCTTTAACTTGTGAGAAAGCACTAGTTTTAACATGCCCAAAATAGACACCAAAACAAAGGATACTAAAGCCTCCTGCCAGTTTTTGGCATCTAGATAACCCAGAGTATATTTAATTTTTCAAATGAACATTAAAATAAAAACTCAGAAATTATCATAGAAAATATGTAAATCTTTCATAACATCCTACTCCAGTTTGCAGAACATTATTGCTGTGGACCATAACACTATAAAACAAATGTTCATGTGACAAATAACTGGATTCCTAGTAACCTAATATTTTCATCTAGTTCAATCCTTCACTCTTTCAACAAATATTTACTGTTTGTGCATACAATATGCAATGAAGGACACAAATATAAAACAATAGGTCGGGCTGGGATTGTGGCTCAGCAGTAGAGCGCTTGCCAAGCACGGGAGGAACCCAGGCTCAATCCTCAGTACCACATAAAAATAAAGGCATTGATATATACACAATGGAATATTACTCAGCAATAAAAAACAACAAAATCATGGCATTTGCAGGGAAATGGATGGCATTAGAGCAGATTATGCTAAGTGAAGTCAGCCAATCCCTTAAAAGCAAATGCCAAATGTGTTCTTTGATATAAGGGGGGCGACTCAAAACAGAGCAGGGAGGAAGAGCATGAGAAGATTACCATCAAACTGGGGAGAGGTGGGAGGGAATGGGAGAGAGAGGGGGAATTGCAGGGAAGAGGGAAGGAGACCTGCATTGTTATACAAAAATACATATAAGAGGATGTGAGGCGAAGGGGAGGGAATAAAAGAAATAAATAAATAAGAGAGAGTGAGAGAAATGAGTTATGGTAGATGGGGTAGAGGGGGGAGGGGAGGGGAGGGAAGGGGAGGGCAGGGGAGGGCAGGGCAGGGGGGACAGGAAGGAGATAGGAAGGGCAGCAGAATAGAACAGACACTTGTTTGGCAGTATGTATAAATGTGGCTATATAATCAACGTGATTCTGCAATCTGTACATGGAAGAATAATAAGAATTCATACCCCATTTGAAACAAATGTATGATATATGATATGTCAAGATCAATGTAATGTTTTGAGCAACCAATAAATTTCTGATGCTTAAAAAATAAAATATATCATGCAACGTTAAAAAAAAAAAAAAGAACATCAAGGCTGATTATTAAGAGCTATAATTCAGTGAGCTGCCTTATATAATGTTGGGCTGTCAAAGTTAAGGATTTGACCAATATGAAAGCTTTTAAAAGTTAAAACATAATCTTAATTCTGTTATATATTAGAGTGACATAATAGACCCAGTGTCCCAACCATGACTTTGAAGATCCTTAGCTACATGTAAGCTGCCTAGGCATTTTATTGTTGGCTACGGTGTACTTTCATAGGCAGATTATATTCATTTAACTCACAGTTATTTCATATCTTTCCTTATACTTCAGCCTCTAGGATATGTTGCAAATGAAAGCAGAGAATGACCTGACAGGCTCATCTTAGAGTCACAGATAGCACTGAACAACGTATCTTAATGACATCCCTCCCTGCTCAGATGAGTCCTTGCTTTGTAATGAGGCGCCAGGAATGTAAAGAGGCAGCGTTTTAAAAGATGTCAAGATATGTTATGGCTTCATATTTGCAAATAAGAACAGGATGAATTTTAAAAAAAAAATAAATACATTGTGTTGTGTCCATCTATACCTAAAAAAAAAAATAAATATTTTTTAAAAATAAATAAACAAAACAATAGGTCCAGCCCCGAAGCAACATCAAAAAGCATGACACTTTAAATATCAAAATATAATGGAAAATGGATGCTAAATTCAGGAACTATGTAAAGCTATCACATTCACAGAGCTTAATTCTAGTATGGGATAGACAGATAAAAAATATTGTCTGTAATAAATGAGTAAATTATACCACATGTTACAGAAGAAATGGTACTAAAGGGTGGGAGAATTTTAAGCAGGTAAATAGGAAGGGAGTAGAAACACAGGCTAAATTTTTTTAAAATAGGTGGTCAGAAAAAGGCTTGATGAGATGACATTTCTAACCATGTTGTTCAGGGGATAACTGCACGGGTTCATATTCACACTCTCAATTACCACTGTCATTAAATTTTCCACTGGACCACTACTGTCCACTACATTTGGGGTATTATTCTTTTGAATATCATGTTCAGAAAGTATTTGTAATTAGTAAGAAAATCAAAATTTGCATTTCTATTTGTACCACAACTATTAGCCATAATGAAATCAAGTTTTCCTCTAACATCCTCAACAGTGGCAGAGCTTGGCCACAAAGATAGTGGAAATAAGCTCTCTAGAACCGGATTTCAAGAGGCTGCAATGATTCTGATCTCTCTCCCGGAGAAAACTGGCTTCAAAAATAGGTATCTTAATCCCTGGGAGCTTTCTCCTTCAATTCCAAATTCATATATGAAAACCAAAAGGTCACCGAGGACTTTAAACCCAACTCCTGAAGCACTCTTGGCCTTGCCTTGTGCAAACCACAAGAGGTAATGAGCCTTGTGTTTACCATCTGGGAAATCAGTGCTGACTCATCATTAGCGCCTCGCCTTAGCGCCTGGAGACCAAAAAGCCCTGGAGAAGGCCTAGCAGACTTCCTGCGGAGGGAGCCGAGGTTTGGGGAATTAAGGAAGAAAAAAACTCTCTTCCTGCTGAAGACTATTCAGCAAAAGAGGAGGAAGAGCCCCAAACACTTAAAAGCCCTTAGGCACAGGCACAGGTTTAAGTGAGGCCTGGCTGGGAAGCCGGGCTGGGAGCCCGCGCCTGCGCCCTGTGTCCCTGGGGCCTGCGCCACTGGGGCGGAAGTGCTGCTCCCACATCCGGTGAGCAGAGCATCTGGGAAGCTTTCAGGGCCCGGAAGTGCTGCTGGTTGGGAGCTTCGTGTCCAGAAAGCAAGGACTGAAAAAAAAAAAATCTGGTAAGTGAACCCCAGGGAATGCTAAATATAACAGATGGTATTCCTCAAGCACCTGTGTGCCCATCCTGTGCTGCGGCCCATCATGTTCCTTTTCTTTGTCCATCAGATGCAGGAAACCTACAAGCCTCTGTGATTCCTCTAATGTCCTTTCTCACTGAGAACAGCAGCCAAGCACCTTCAATTGGATGCCTTGTGGTTTTGACCCTCCGCTCATTTTCCACACCCTCTGCCTGGATTCAGACCTTCATCTCTCACAGGACTAACGTTTTTAATAATAGCAATTTGGTTCTGTCTGCTGTTGCACCAGTTGAAGATTCCGATTTGTAGGTTCTGAATTTTATACCATACAGGGTCTTTCCTTCAGAAAGAATGGCTGGATATATTTGTATCACAATATGACCTTTGACTGTACATCATTGTGTTAGAACTCCTGGAAGAGTAAGCACTATGGGCAGTCACAGTATTAACAGTAGCCAAGCATATATCTGAATGGCACCAACAGTTTACCTATTACATAGAAGTGTCTGCAGGCTACTTTAAGCTGTTACTAAATCCAGACTAAACAATCCTGAACTACCCATTAGTGGGTTTCCAGAAATGCCCACAATCTAATGAAAGTATAATGGAGACATAATATAGTAGAAAAAGA